AGTAGTCCTCCGTTATCCACATGGGATGCATTCCAAGACCCCCAGTAGATACTTGAAGTCTCAAGTAGTACCAAATTGTGTTTTTTCTATACCTATATATTTATACATAAATATGATAAAGTTTATGAATTAGGCACAGTATGAGATTAACAATAACTAATAGGATAGAACAGTTTTTAAAATACACTGTAATAAACGTTATGTGAATGTGTTCTCCCTCTCTTTCTCAAGATAACGATATTTTTGGACCACAGTTGGCAGGTAACCGCAACTGCAAATAAGTGGAGACTACTGTACACCAGTGTGCGTGTGTGTTATTTCCCAGCTCTGACCACTAGAGGGCCTCAAAGCACTAGCACCTACTAGCAATGGGCATATCAGTGCCCATGGTCTGTAAACATCATTCTCCCATGAAAGGAACTAGGGCTTCCAGGAGAAATAGCTGATCCAGGACTGAGGCGGAAAAATACAAGAGGAGACTTAAGCTTCTTGTGGTATCAGAAAGTAAGGAACTGCTAAAAAAAATGATAGGGTTGTATGTAAAAGTCACGGAAGCCAACTGGAAGGAGCTTCTGATGGCCAATTTTGGGACAATATGAGCAATATAATAAAAAATGATAGTAATGGATTCCAACCCATAAATACCCATGAGTCCATGCTGATATAAATAAATAACTGAACAAATAAGTAAATAAGGAAGAAGAAGCTGGGCATGGTGGCCAGTGCCTGTAATCCTGGCACTTTGGGAGGCTGAAGCAGGGGGATCACTTGGGGCCAGGAATTAGAGACCAGCCTGGCCAACATGACAAAACACCATCTTTACTAAAAATACAAAAATTAGCTGGGCGTAGTGGTGTGTGCCTGCAATCCCAGCTGCTCAGGAGACTGAGGCAGGAGGATCACTTGAGCCCAGAAGGTGGAGGTTGCAGTGAGCCAAGAAAAGAAAGAACTCCTTCTTATGGCAGAATTCTGGTTAATAAATGTAGAAGGAAAACTGGAAAGAAAATCACTATTTGGCCAACACTGCAGTAATAATTATTTATAAGAGACAATCATCCATGGATTCTAGAAATTAATGTTAAAAGTATGATGATGATATAACTGGTGAATAACAAGAAAAAAAGGTATGATGAGAAGAAACAGGCTATCTATCTCCAAAGTGTCTCTCCACAAGATACTAATTACAAGGAGACGAATAGTAACTTTAACTTGCAGACATCACTTGAACCAAGCGCTTAAAGTGAACCTCATCAGTAATGAAAGATATCGACATCCTGGGCCCGTTCCTGGGACTTCCAGAGAAGGATGCCTCGCTTCTGTAGTATTCTTGCCCAAAATGCATAACTGCAAATGTCAGACAAACCCAAATTCAGGGGCATTCTACGAAACAACTGGCTAGAACTTTTCAAAAGTGTCAAGGTCCTGAAAGAGGGAGAAAGACTGAGAAACTATTCCAGGTTGGAGGAGGCCTGGGAGTTGTGACATTTTATTCAGATGGATCCTGGATTGGAGTCTGGAGCAGAAAAAGGACATGAGTGAGATGATTAGAAAGATTTGAACATTGGCCGGGCGCGGTGGCTCACGCCTGTAGTCCCAGCACTTTGGGAGGCCGAGGCAGGTAGATCATGAGGTCAAGAGATCGAGACCATCCTGGTCAATAAGGTGAAACCCTGTCTCTACTAAAAATATAAAAATTAGCTAGGCATGGTGGCGCACGCCTGTAATCCCAGGACTTTGGGAGGCTGAGATAGGCAATCAACCAAGGTCAGGAATTCGAGACCATCCTGGTCAACAAGGTGAAACCCCGTCTCTACTAAAAATACAAAAATTAGCCGGGCATGGTGGCGCACGCCTGTAGTCCCAGCTACTCGGGAGGCTGAGGCAGGAGAATTGCTTGAACCCAGGAGGCGGAGGTTGCGGTGAGCCGAGATCGTGCCATTGCACTCCAGCCTGGGTAACAAGAGCGAAACTCTGTCTCAAAAAAAAAAAAAGATTTGAACATTTTAAAATTAGTTAATATTGTGATATTAGCGCTAATCTCCTGGTTTTGATAATCGTATTATGGTTACATAAGACATTGAAGACAAATGGATGAAGAATATACTGGAACTCTATTTTTACGATATTTTTGAAAGTCTGAAAAATGAAAAGTAAAAAAAAGAAATGTATTAGAGTTCTGTGAGGGCAAAATGAGATACTGTGAAGTGCTTAGAACAATGCTTGGGATATAGGAGTTCTTAATGTGTCTGATACTATAAGTAATTTTATAGTTAAATAATATTACAATTAATGAATAATCTGTTATTGTAAGTACTTTATTTCCTAATGTCCTCATATATTCTCACTTCTTTTCATTTCTTTCTTTCTTTCTTTTTTTTTTTTGAGATGGAGCTTCACTTCTTGCCCAGGCTGGATTGCGGTGGAGCAATCTCAGCTCACTGCAACCTCCGCCTTCCAGGTTCAAGCAATTCTCATGCGTCAGCCTGCGGAGTAGCTGGGATTACAGGCATGCACCACCACACCCGGCTAATTTTTTTCAATTTTTTTGAGAGAAAGTTTCACTTTTGTTGCCCAGGCTGGAGTACGATGGCGCGAACTCGGCTCAGGGCAACCTCCGCCTCCCGGGTTAAAGTGATTTTCCTGCCTCAGCCTCCTGAGGAGCTGGGATTACAGGCATGCGCCACCACGCCCGGCTTCTGGCTAACTTTTTGTATTTTTAATAGAGGCGGGGTTTCGCCATGTTGGCCAGGCTGGTTTTGTACTCCTGACCTCAGGTGCTGTACCAGCCTCGGCCTCCCAGGGTGCTGAGATTACAGGCGAGAGCCACTGCACCCCGCGTATTCTCACTTATTTCTATTTCCCTTTCCCCTGGAAAAGCATATTGAACATGTATGTGATTAAGATATAAGATTTTATTTTGAGACTTATTTTGGGAATAGAGGAGCTATTATTTCCTTTAGCCACTAAATAGCTCAGACTCAGGCCCACATTGCAAAACTCTTTGGCTGGGAAACAAGGTTTGAGCCACGCCGCCACCCACCCTATGTGGTTTGTGATGGCGCCCCCTGGCGGCGCAGCGAGCTTTTCCCAGTTCTTCACTCTCTTCGTTTAGGAGTGACTTGGAAATTCCATGCAGTCCATTTATTAAACCCTTTCTAGGTCATGCCGCGGATCATTTAATCTTCACAACAAGTGTGTGTGACAAATGGTATTTTCTTCATTTTGAGATGATAAAACTGAAACTCAGAAAATTGAGGCGACTTGTCCAGGGTTGCAGAGTGAGTGGCACAGCCAGGATTTGGATATAGGTCCCCCTCACTTCCAGGCTGAGTGTAAAGGTCTAGGTAAGTTTAAAAGTGTGGCCATGTAGAGAACTATTGGTGTAGAGTGGTGGTTGTTGACCAAGGGTGGTTCCCCTTCCAGGGACATTTGGCAATGTTGGGAGATAGTTTTGGCTTCCATAACAGGGGTTTGGATGGGGGAGAGGGAAGGCTGGTATTGGTGTCGAGTGGAGAGAGGCCACGAGGATGAGCTGAACATCTCACAATGCACAGAACAGCCCCCACCACAAGGAACTGTTCAGCCCAAATGCCAGTAGAGCTGCTAGGAAGCCCTGGTCTGACTTAGAAACCTGAGGATGCATCTCGCACTTAGCTAATGTTTGCTGAGTGCTGAACTGGACAGCGTGAGGGATATCGAAACAGGGCACCAGTCTGTGCCGCCAAAGAGGCTGCAGCCTAGAAGGGGAGCAGGTGGAGGCAGGAGAGGCACATGAAGGCCTTCCATATAAGGCAGCAGATGATCAGTGCAAGAAGAGAGCATCCGGTAGGGCTAAGCCAGCTCTCAGGAGGAAGAGTGCACCTCTGACTATGGGAGGAACTGAGGGAAGCTGTGGGAAGGTGGTTTTGTGCTGGGTGTGTAAACAAAAGTTGAGCTGGTGGGAAAACACAAGCCCTTTTCAGGGAAGGGCAGACAGGCTAGTTTGGGTGGAGAGAGAGTATTTTTTTAGTGAGTGGAGGGGGACATGCTGGAAAAGCAGGTTAGGGCTAGAGCTTTGAGTCCAGGCTGAGGACTTTAGCCTGGGTGTCTGTCATAGAGGTAGAAAAGTCCTCCTTTTCGAAATAATGGTCTAGGCCCTAGGGCTGTGGGGCTCAGCAGCTTTCAGAGTGCCCTTTCTACACAGGAGGGGATGTTGGAAATTGGGGTGGAGAAGGGAGAATGTTTCCTGATCTTAAGACCAAGTTGATGCTGAGTATGTAACAAAGCTGTTTCACCTCTAAGTGGCCCTTGGGGAGATGGTGCTCCCAAGCGGAAATACACATGGGGGTCAGCTCTCTTCTGTGTGGTTGTTCTATGAAGGACTGGGCCACTTTATAGTGAAACCTGGAGCAGATTTGGAACCCCTAAGCAAAGGTCTGCTTCCCAAAATGTGAGCTGTTACAGCAGGGCTTGCTGTGTATAAAGCTTCAAATATGAACACTACCTGGTGACAGGCTTTTTCTAGTTTATTACATTACCATTAAATATCGTTAAGACATGTTGGTGGCATGTCTGGTGCACTGTAAAGAATGTAAGCAATGACTTCCTGATCTTCTATAAAGGTACCACCCTCCCATCACCATCATTAAGGTTAGCCGTGAGATATATGTTACTCTTTTGGAAAAGGGTTGGGGGAGAAGGTATGGGAGCAAACCTTTGTTGGGCTAGTACATACATACATACATACATACATACATACATACGTACCTACCTACATGTGTGTGGGGCGATCAGCTACAGTTGCAGTTTTGTTCACTTACTGAAAATATCTCATTTAACTCTCTCAACATCATTTGGGTTTAAGTAGTTTGCTGTTTTTCGTGAAGGAGGAAACTGTCACTGAGAAAGGCTCACTTACCCCAAACCCCCATAGCTAAAAGGGGCTGCATTGTGATGCATCTGTGGCCTGTTCTGCCCCATTTCCTCCCCCCATTTTCCCCTTCATAGACAGTCTTGTTTACCTGGATTCGGGCTGCTGGAGACCATGGACATCAGCATTAGCGGCAGCAGCAGGAGGAGGGAAGAGATTAGAACTTTCATTGCAACTGTTGGTTCAACTGTAAGTTGCTTGAAGAGTATAATGGAAGGTTCCCCGTTGGAGGCTCCTGATCTCTGGGGATGGCTCAGGCCAGGGTATTCAGCCTGGCAGTCTGCGCTTTAGTCCCAGGCCAGCGTTCCCATTCGAGGGCAAGAACAGGTGCGGTGATGCTATTAGGTAACAGATTAGACCGTGTGCTTTATGGGAATCTGGGAGGTGAAACTGGTCAAACAAAATAAATGCAGCATTTTTAAGAACATAAGAAGGTGACTGATAACTTGGCAGCTGTGCCCGTTCTCTCCTGTACTCCTTCCCGCCTCCCACACCCCAGTGCCTCATGATTTCTTCCTCAAGTCTTTTTTTCTCACTTGGATTTCCTTATACCTTTCAATGACCCTCTCTATGTGAGTATTTGGCAGGAAAGCGGGTGCTAAGTGTTGCTAGAAGAGATGTTGACAAGGTCTGTTTCCCCTCTGTGCTCCCGTTCCCATCCTTGACAGAATACCGGGAATAGTAGTGTTGCTGCCCGGGAAGTTGCCCTGTCCTCGCTCTGTTCACATTCCCTCCAATTCTGTAGCCACGTAAGGTGGGAGCAGAGCAGGATCTGGGGCAAGAGGCCGCTCCCCCTGCCCAGAACATCGCCACTGAAGCAGTGGGTAACACCAGGCCTCCTTGTGTGTCCATCGGGAAGGTGGCCATGGCTTTGTTGTTCCAGTGTAAACGAGAGGGAACTGGGTTGGGGGAAGACCCCAGAGCTGCAGGTCCCAGAGGGTTTGTGAAACAGGAGCCACAGGAGGGAAGGAGCCCTGGAAGTGTGTTTGCCCAGCTGCTGGGGCGCCTGGCTCCAGCCCTTGTTTGGAAATGGCCCCAGGCAAAAGAAGAAAGGTAATAATACTTGAAGTAAACATTAAGGGTCATGGAATATCAGGACTTACTAAACGTGACATTTATTTGAGACTTTAGGAAATATGCTCAAAGGAAGAGGAGAGGCTGGGCTTGAATGCTGGGTGATGTTCATGGGGCTGAAAGAAGGTTAGCAAGGGAGCCCTCCTTGGAAGCCTCCAGGCAGGAGTGAGAGCAGGGGTGTGACTTTGTTTCCCTGAGAGGAGGGAAGAGGCAAGGCATGAGTCAAAGCCCATTGAGTTTTGTTTGACCATTCTTTTTTCTTTACGTTTTCAAATTATCTTTTCCTGTTGACTTGTCACAGACTTGATTGTGGACTTTGCTACTGCAGGGTTTATAAAACACTGCAGAGGCCAGGGATTGTGCCAGGACTGAGCCTGTGTTCAAGTTGAAGACACAGGCTGGGCTTGTTCTGATGCAAATCACTGGTGTAGCTTCTTTCTGGAAAATTCTAAAAATGGTCTCTGCCTTTAGGAGGCTCAAGTCTAACCAGGGAGTTGACATCCAGTTCATAAAGCCTAGAAATAGGAGTGCAGTCATCTCTCGGTGGCAGGAGAGCAGGAGACTGAGTGGGTGGAACTTGAGCTGGTCTCACGGGGTAGGGGAGGACTTGGGTTGGTGGAGGGCAGAGAGGAGGGCTGTGCAGAGCAGGGGCGTGTTGTAGGAGAGGCTCTGTGGAGCTCTTTGCATGGGGATCTTTGAGGACAGGGCTGTTTGTGTTCTTTTTTGTATTCCCTGAACTTACACAGGTCCTGGCACTTTGAGAGTATTCTATAAATTACTATTGAATGGGATGATGGTTTTGTAGCCCATTAACTGGGCCTGATGTATTAGAAAGTGTGCAAAAATGCAGCTCATTAGCAGAGCGAACATTTTACTGAAAAACCATCCTGTGTACAAATGGATCTTGGTGGGGCCACTTTACTTATGCTGCTGAGTTCTCATCAGTCCACACCAAGGCCACTGGAGGGGCCGGGAGCTCCTCTTCAGACCTTCCTCCGGGTCCCACAGTCTTTACCCCTCCATTCTCCCAGGTCCTGCTCCCTGTCAGTTCACTCCATCTCATTTTCCCTCCATGCACTTGGCATGGGTGTCGAATCCTGTGTCCCATTGGAGGGGGGTTTTGGGTCCCTCAGGCCCATTGATTAAAACACCCCCAAGACAAATGGACTTTTTTCTTGTTAACATGACAACTTCTTACAACGCATCTTGAGAACTTTGTGTCAAGAGTCTCTCTGATGTACAGAGGCCCTCCCTCCCCCAGGAAGGAGGTAAGGGGAAGTTAGGAGAAAACCCCGTCCTGCCTGGGTTACTTATTACCTTATTCTACAGTGTACTTGGTAGACATTCAAAAATATGTGTTGACTTTGTCCATGATTCACATGGATCTAATATAGTCATTTATGCACACATACGTTCAGTGAGCCTTTGAGCACCTGGTGTGTGCCTGGTATTTGCTGATGGTGGATGCTGAGAAGATCAGGTGTGCTGCTGTCTCTGAGGAGCTCTCACTATGCACCTGGACCTACAGTGACCGAATCCACCTGCTCTACTTTACAGACGTGGAAATTAAAGTGCAGGGAAGTTATAGGATTAGTTCAATGTCACACAGTCACTAGCCTCAAAGTTACGGGAGTAAAGCAAGTTTCCTGACTTGCTGGATTTTCTGTTAGTGTGCAGCCACCTGGCTAGTGTGCAGCTACCTGGTGAGCTCTGATGGGAGAGAGAATGTTCAGAGTGAAGTCGGAGCCCTGAGCACCCTGGATTAGCCAGGAGGACATGCCGGGTCCAGCTGTGACTGCATGAAGGACCATCAGGGACATTTGCATTCTTTTTCACTTTGAGCTTCAGATGAGAAAAACTGACCCCAGAAAACCAAGAGTGGAAAATTTTTCACAGGGGATTGATGAGATGGATCAGAAAACGCTGTATTGGGTGGGTACAGTGGCTCATGCCTGCAGTCCCAGCACTTTGGGAGGCTCAGGTGTGAGGATGGCTTGAGCCCAGGAGTTTGAGACCAGTGTGGACAATGTGGTGAGACCCTGTCTCAATAAAAAGAATTTTTTTTTTTTTTGAGATGGAGTTTCACTCCTGTTACCCAGGCTGGTGTGCAATGGCGCGATCTCGGCTCACCGCAACCTCTGCCTTCTGGGCTCAGGCAATTCTCCTGCCTCAGCCTCCTAAGTAGCTGGGACTACAGGCACGCACCACCATGCCCATCTAATTTTTGTATTTTTAGTAGGGACGGGGTTTCACCATGTTGACCAGGATGGTCTCGATCTCTTGACCTCGTGATTCACCCGCCTCGGCCTCCCAAAGTGCTGGGATTACAGGCTTAAGCCACCGCGCCCGGCCCAATTTTTTTTTAAAGAAAACCTTGTGTTGATGTCTGTCATGGTGTTTCTCACTGAATGGTAATGGTCTGGCTTTGAGTGGGTTCCGTCTGTAGCCCAGAGCTCTGCAAGGCAGGGATCAGGTGTGATTCACCTTTGTCTCACCAGTGACAGTACACAGCAGACTCCGATAAATATTTCTTACAAAATAAAACTGAAGAAAAAGTATACACCTGCACAGGTGTGGGATGACTGAGCAGTGGCACAAGCAGGAAAAGTCAGCGTTCCCAGGTCACGTGGTGTGGTGTTTGGCTTCTAGAGGGGAGTGAGGTGCCAGGACAGGGACGGGGGTCCTGTGGCTCTGCTGCTCTGGGGACACCCCTAGGATTTGGAGTGTCTGCTGTGATTGCAGCACTTCACTCGCTTGTGGGAAAGTGAGCAGAGGGTGTGGGGCTTCAGGTCACCCCAGGTGGGAAATGGCTGAGGGAGGATGGGCGGGTGGCATATAGAGGTTGTTTCCCAATATTTGAAGGTGGGTTGTATGAAAAAATGTTGGACTTATTTCAGCCTACAGAGAGTAGGACGAGGATTGGGGGGTGTGTATCAGACATATTTTGGCTCAGGAAGGAAAAGAACTGTCACAGTAAAGTCACTTTCCTTGGGAAATTACAAGTTTACTGGTGCAGTTCAGGCCAGGTCTGGGTGTCTGAAAATACCTATTAGAGTGATTTCTAAGGTTACAAGGGCAGAGCTGGGCATGAAACCAGGTTTCCCACTGATACCACATATTAAGATATTGTACCAACTGTCCTTTGCAATGAGGCACTGCTCTATGATGCCGGCTGAGCTCCCTGACAGTGACTTTCTGTCTTTGTTGGGCGGTTGTAATTTTATCTCCTCTGTGACCCGGACTTTGCCCCTTACCCTTTGGTCTTGCCAGCCCTCCTACTTCCTTTACTGGTGACAAGGGTTAAGTGCATTTACTGATGATGGTCACAAGGTGGCAGCACTGCCTCACTGGTAGTTCCTAAGACTTCTGCTTGGACGTGGGCTAGTCTAAGACGCTGTTAGGATTAAGGGCATGAATGAGGCTAAAGGTAAACTGTATTTTCTTTTTTTCTCCTGTGAAGTAACAGAATTTGAGCTGAATGTGAAATAATTGCATTTTAGAACTCGAAGTGCCATGTGCAGTGGTTCATGCCTATAATCTCAACACTTTGGGAGGCTGAAGCAGGAGGATGATTTGAGCCCAGGCGTTCTAGACCAGCCTGGGCAATGTGGCAAAACCTCATCTCTACAAAAAATAAAAAAAATTAGCCGGGCACAGTGACACATGCCTGTGGTCCCAAATACTCGAGAGCCTGAGGCAGGAGGATCACTTGAGCCCAGGAGGCTCAGGCTGCAAAAGCTATGATCATGTCACTGCATTCCATCCAGGCTGGGAGACAGAATGAGACTCTGTCTCAAAAAACTCCAAAAATGAATAAAAAAAAAAAGATCTGGGAGAAATGCTTCACACACTTTAATGTGTTCACAGATCACCCAAAGATCTTGTTCAAATACAGATTCTGATTCTTCTGGTGGAACCTGAGATTCTGCATTTCTTTTTTTTTTTTTTTATGATTGGCATTTTCACAAGATTCTGCATTTCTAAGGAGCATCTGGGCGATGTCGTCGCTGCTGTTTGGGGGACCACACTTTGAGTAGCAAGGTTTGAGTATCATTTAGAGATGAATTCTCACTGCATCTGATTTATGGATGAGGAGAGACTAGAGTGCAGAGAGAGACTGTAACTTGCCCTCCATAGCCATGCCCTTACTG